TTTAATAAACATCTATGATGTATTAATGTATTGAGAAATATTCATGCTGTCCTCAAGTTGACCATCATTTAGCTTCTTTCTCAGTGTTGCAGAAAAAGGAAATATGAAAAACTTTTGAATAAATTTTGTGGTTTCAAAATACCTTTCAGACATTTATATTATTTCAATAAATAGAAAATTCTTCAACGTCTCCCTCCATTTCATATAAGGTAAAACAAGTATTTACTTTCTGTACTTCTGGGGATCAAACTTAGGCCCTCTTTTATGCTAGGCAAGGGCTCAATACCAATAAACTTCATCTATAGCCCTACAAATCATCTTCAATCAATTTAGTAGACATGTAGAGTTGTACCATAAAGAGCAGGTAAGAAATAATCCACCTTTTTCTCCTAAACCTTTTTCTTTTAAGTGTGATCAAATAGTGATTTATTTCAAGTTGGTAACCAGGTAGTTATTCTTTGCCAATCATCCTGTATGGTATTAAACTTTAGTGTGGAGCAAAATAGACATTAATCTTGCCATTGTCAAAGTTTCTACTTATTGAGAAGTACAAGTAACAGTAAGATAACAGCCAATGTCCACGTGGTACTTGACATTCCAGAGATTCTCTACATTTGACTTATTTTAATCCTAAAGTAAACCTATGAGGTGAGTACTTATTAACATCATTTTATGGATGAAGAAAGGAAATTTACAGCTGGTAATGGGGTGGAGGTTTGGAGTGGCCACAGTGTCTCCAGTACCAGTTAATTACCTTTAACACTAAATATTAGAAATGGCAATATTTTTATAGATCTTATAAAAATCATGCCAGTCTTTATTTTGCTGTCAGAATAGATCATATTTGTAGGCACTAGTTGCTTATGTATGTAATACCGGAGAACACTAAGATAGCAATTCAAAGTAAGCCAGGGGATAATGGTTTATAAGACTCATCGTAAATTGCTGATCACACTGGTCATCCCACAATAGGATGAGAACTGTGGTCCACATCTGCGCAGGCAAAAAGGAAGATGCTATCTGAAAAATAACCAGACCATAAAGGGCTGAAGGCATAGCTTAAGTGGTAGATGACCTATCACTTAAGTAAGTTCAAGGCCTTAAGTTCAAACCTTAGTACTTCCCCTCTCAAAAGATGGTAATTTATATTAGAATATAATAGATTTATAAATTTATAAATGTAATAGATTTATGACATCTTTCAAATGGAGATGAAAACAAATCACTGTAATCTAGAAATGAGTAATCACAAAAACAAATTTTAGTTATTCTCAAGCTATAATAAATCATTATATCCTCTTTGTTTTCTATAAACTCAAAATCTCTCATATTGGTTGACATTAAACTTAAAAATCCAGTCTGAGTATATTTCATTATCTCCATTGAATACTAAAAGATAGAAATTAAGTTTAAATTATTTGATTCCTTAAATGAAGGAAAGCTATAGATATATCAAAAAGTTAGCAACATAAATTTTTTCTGGTAACTTCAAGTTTTTACTTTAGAGTGAGCAATGAATAACAATCTAAAAGGAGACACCTAATGTTTTTCTCCAGTTCTCTCTTTATAAGCCATGTTAAAAACATTAGTAAATAAGATGTAGTAAAAGAAACAGGAAAGTGTTGCCTCATTCTGTGGAAAGACCTTGCTTTCCTCTCTGTTAGTGATTGTATGACATGGCAAGACTACCAGCGGTGCAGCGTAACAAAGGGATCCCACCATTGTTACCTAACACATTGAGATTTATGACTACTCGCACATCTGCATTGAAATACTTTTATCTCTGTTCCTTCTAAATCACAAAACATTTAGTATTTTCCAGTTGCAATCAAAGCTTTGATTCCATCAGGTGCAGAGACTTAACAACCTTTCAGAGACATTTGACTATTGACTTTTTTTCTATTTCCAAAACACCTATATTTGGAGGCAAATAATAGGACTATCCTTTTCTCTGTCACTTGTATTCAGATTTGGTTTATGTTTAAATACTCTGTTCTTTAAAGCATGATTTTATTTTATTTTATTTTTTTTTGTCAGTAGTGGGGCTTGAACTCAGGGCTTGAGTACTGTCTCTGTGCTCTTTTGCTCAACGTTGGTGCTCTACCCCTTTGAGCCATAGATCTACATCTGGTTTTCTGGTGCTTAGGTGGAGATAAGAGTCTCATGGACTTTCCTGACTGGGCTGACTTTGGACCATGATCCTCAGATCTCAGCCTCTTGGGGAGCTAGGAGTATAGGCATGAGCCACCAGTGTCCTGCGTAAAGAGTGCTTTTTAAATACAGCTTTGTGCACATCATTTTCATGTTACAGGAAGCATAGATAAATTATTACAATTAAGTGCTGGTATTACCATCACATATGAAAGTTTGTTTCCTGTAACCTCTCTTTGAAACTTTTTGAAAACCAAAAGGCCATAAATGCTTTTTTTAAAAATGACCTGAATTATTTAAAGTTAACTATCCAGTGTTGTACAAAGGATCCTTTGCTGGCTCATTGGAGGTAGACATGGTCTGTGTATGAGAATAGTGTCTGTCTCAAGTCTAAATTGGTAACATGTTGTTATTCAGTGGCACAGGAGCCTGGATGGTCATCATTTCCTGGCTAAGTTTCAAGGAGACAAGTTGGGACACCATGCATGGGGGTCACTGGCTCCTTCTGACATCTAATAGCCACAGGAAGTAATGCCAGAGATAGAACCTGATCTCTAAGGAAAATGAGATGGAGCTAGAAAACAGGCAGAGCTATTTAATTTCTCCTTAAGTCTGAATCATGGAATGCATTTCTTATGCTTGGTTTGAGCTGCAGACATGAGTTACCCCTATTCTACTTATTATACAATGAAAAAAATAAATTACCTGAAATAAATTACCAGTTTTTCTAACTAATTCTACTTGTTTTATTTGTGTGTGTGTATGTGTTTAATAAGTGATGAAGTACATCAGACAACCAATGTTTATCTTCTACTTTAGAGTCCCTTTCCATGTTTTTAGGGTAGAGTTTAAAGAATATATTCATCCCTCCCCTGCCTTCCTTTTCCTTAAGTGCTACTACTCTCTTTGTTCACTAATATAGTCTGCTTTCCTACATGTTGTTCACTGTGATATTTCCATGCATACATTAGAGTGTATATTGATCATATCCAGTCACCGTTCTTCCTAACCTACTGTATCTTTCCTAATCCCTTATCACTCTCTTACTTTCGAAGATCAGCCCTGACAGTTTTCATTTGATAGAGAACATGTTTGCCATTCTGTGTCCAAATTCATATGATGTCCGTTTTCATCTATTTTACTGCTAGTGACAGGAACTCCTGCTTCATAGCTGACTAAATACTCAAGTGCTATCTCAAATGCTGAGATCAACCACATCACTCAGGGACAGGAATAGATTCAGATCAGTGTTCTTCATTCAATTTTTCTGAGATTTTTCCCCCCTTGTTTGTTTCCAAATTCCAGAATGGACCTCTGCTAGTTTCTATTTTGATTACAGTCTTATAGTTACCCATTTAAGCCTTATCCAAGAGCATTTATAGAATTATGAGCCCACTCACACACAAATACACACACAGACACACACACACACAGATCTGAAAGTATTGCCCCAAATCCCTTTTTAGGCAAAATGAACTCCAGTTGAGTTCCAAAAATAAGCAGCCTACTAACACTTGTCACTGCCTTAATCTGTATTGGCTAATGACATGATTCCTAGATGTTCATGCATGGTAAGCACGTTGTATGTGGTTAGACCAGTTGGGGGCTATGAACATCAGATGGGTAGAATCCAGGAAGTCTACTAAATAGCTTAGGAGGCTCATAATAGTCTCAATCTATCTCTCAATGATTCACTGATCTGAGAATTTATAGTGCTAAGGCACGAAACATTGCCATACAACAGATTTTAGAGCTATTACTGAGAAGAAGGAATGACTGGAAGTTGTCACAGCCCTTTGGAGATCTTCTATTGAAACTTGGAGAAGTTTTTTCATAAGCAATTTTTTTTGCCATATTGTAATTCAGGGATGGTATGAAGGTTGATGAGTGTAACTGTGGATATTAAAATGATTGATAAATGGTGAGAATTTAAGGAAGATAATGTTGATAGTAGTGATTACCTCCTTAATAGTTCTCATTTCTGAAGATATGTAGGTTTTGCCTTTAGCAGATTCTGGAAAAATTACAAAAATGTAAATTCAAGTTTAAAATGAAAAATGTAAACCTACATAGTTACTTGTGTCATCTCATAACTTTTGTTGAATAAAGTAATGATAAATAAATAATTAACATTTTCCAAGATGAAACATTATATTTTAAGATTAAGTCACTTTACAGAGGTAGTGATCACATTTGCAAACCTTAAATTCAAATATACTTCTATCATTTAAAATGAATTGCAAATTCAGATTTAACTCCATTTTCTAAGACTTTGCAATGTAGGTAAACTGAATCTAGAAGCAAATGAAATACATTTTTTAAACCTGACCTTTAGAAAAAATTTCACAAGTAACTTTTTCTATGAAATGTATCCTTATTTATTTGAAGTAATTATTGGTTAAATTCAGTGCCAAATACTTATTGTAAACATAGATTAAGTGAACTCTTCTAAGAAGTATTTCCTGTTACATAATGGTTATAGTTTATTTCACAAATTCTTCATTTAATACCTCAAACTAAGACTTCTAAAATTGAAATCACATTCATATTTGTATTGTGAGTAATTGAAATAAAACATAATTATAGTTGGTAAAAAATTTTAATGCTGAAAGTATACAGTTTTAAGTTTTTACAGGTAACTTTGATTATTGGAGTGGCCCTAGCTTTTTTCTTATTTTAAATAAATAAGTTTTTTATATATTAACATGTAACAAAGATTCAAATGTCAATAACCTTGTTAGACACAAAAACATATACTTTGTGACGGAATTAAAAAGTCATATCTATGGCCTAATTTAAATTTTATATTTTTAAACAAAAAGTTTTAAAATTATTCTTTATTTTTCTAGAAATACATAAAGGAAAGGCTGAAAAGCCAGAGAAACCTGAAAGGAAAATACAAACTAAAGGTAAGTGTTGCATTTTATGTTTATTTAATTATGTATGTATTATATATACATATATATAGTCATATATATGCTATATTTTTAACTGAGACTGACCTTTGCTAGGTAAAATACCATTTGTAAAATGTATGAATCCCTGATTATTCTTGCATTTTAGGGAATATTTTTCTCTGTAATTTTAAATGAAAGAATAAAAGAATATTAGTAGTAGTTTGACTTCTTAAAAAATGTTATTATTTTCACAAGTAAATTTACTCCTCAATTAATTTCAGGCATAAATACATGAGTGTATACTTTTTAATGACTGGCATCCAAGTAAGTTCATCTATGACAATTTTCTAATTAGTTACAATTGGCTCTTATAAACTAAATAGTTCGACAGGTAAATATTTGTGGCTTGTGGTATATTGCGACAATATTTTTGCTCTCTTCCTATGTGACTAATGAGCCAGATTTCATTTCTTTTTCACCATGAATTTCTCAAGCCATGTAATGACTTCACAGTCTTTGATGCAGAAAGGTCAAGGCACTGTGTTACCTCTCTGAAGAAGGCTGTGTCTTGTAGTTTTTCTCCACATCTCAGGGTAAACGGACAATGACAGCATGATGAATCGCATTCCTTTCACTGAATTGAGTCCAGGAACTGCAGCTTTGCAACAGAAATGTCTTAACCATGACCAGTATTGCCTTGCTTAACTAACAGGCAGCACTTTTCTGTGGGTAATCCACATAGTTACAAAAATATTAAACAGGAATTGGGGAAGGGGTAGAGTACAGGCATAAGGGATGGAGGCGAATGATGGAAAGGTTGACACTGATCAAGACACATTGTATTCATAGCCAGCTTTGTTGAATGGCACCTCCTTTGAATAACTCCCTAAAAAGAATAACAAAAGAATGAAAGAAACTTGTAGAAATAAACCCATTCCGAGGGAGCATATTTCTAAGCATTCTCACGTTTTCCTAATAGTTATGCCTGCCTTTTTGGATGAGCCAGGACAAAATATTACAATCTCAATCATTACCCTTGATGTGGCACATCTGAAACAAATTCTCTGGAACAAAAATAAAATATTTTACAATATTTATTATGTAAAATTGGCTATGAAAATTACCTGTCATAAATGCTTATTAGAGTTTTGAATAATAGTTGTAGTTACTCTTAAACTACAGCAGATTTTTTATCTGACTTACAGAACCAAGTCACTGCTCTACACTGCATTTTATGTATTTTCTGGGAAGAGCTCAAATCCGATATTAGGTCTTTAATCGTAATGTTTGAATCTGTTCCAGATTGCTCAGCCAATAATTTACACAAACAGAACATTGAAATTCATTCAGTGGAAACTTATTTATACTTGTACTTAGGGAGCTGATGTCTTCTGACTGTTCACTTTCCTTGTTGGATTCTTAAATTCCTTTGGTCAGGGAAATTGGACACAGCTCTTAGACAAGAATTGGCTGAGGAACCCTAAATGAACTAGCGGTTTCCATTTGCTAGTGGTTAAACAGAAACTCAACTCGTTCTGGGTGGCTGAAATCTCTACTGTTAATTTAAGAGCTGTTTCTGCTGGTACAGATATGGTGATGCGCTTGGTATACTTTGCATTTTGGACTCCACTCTGCTCCAATCTGCTTTCAAAGACTTTGAGCAGTGGGCTGTAGAGTAGGTTTATTAAACTAGTGAGTCTTCCATAATTACAAGAGTGAAATTGGCTGAAGTTTAAAAATGAATTTCTCAAAGACCAGGCTTGAGATTAGTTACCAGTACCATTGTCTGAATACACCAAGTATCTTCCAGGAAAATGAACAGTGCTCCAAAAAGAGAAAACAGGGCTTTACCTGTTCAACAGTGATTTAGGGATCAGAGAGAGTTTATTATTTTTTTCTGTCATAGGATTTCTATGTGAATATATATGAAATATATCATTTTTGCTTCTTACTTTCCTATCTGTGGCAAAGATAAAATAATGCCTCCCTCTCACTTGTAATTAGTTCCATATATAAAGTTTTACATTGGTTCACATATATATTGAGCACTGTACATCATATTCAATATTGGCTAGGTTATATATTGACAGTTGTGAATTTTAATTGTTATTAAAGCATTTTGAACTTTCATAATACAAGAAAAAGAACTCCATGGTAATACTATAATTATCTATGATGATTACAAACAAGCCAGGAGGTACCTTAATCTACAAAGATTCAGTATGCTGAAACTAATATACTTTATGCAGAGATTAAAGGGTTTGTGATAATGAAGAGACATTCCCACCCTATTTTCTCTTTCTTTACTTCTTCAAAACAATCTTATTGTAATCAGAAAGATTTTAGAGGTACTTCTCCATAAAACTTTATAAGTCTACTCATGATGTTGTGAATACTGAAAAACAAAGAATATGTAATCCCAGGGAGCACAGTTTTTGAAAAAACATCTATAAAGAGATATTAATTAATTAATTTTTAATGGCCACAAAATCCATTTCAATTCTGAGTTTGTCAAGTAAAATAAAAAATACTGTACTTTTATACATTAAATGATTTAAATTCATAATATCAGACTAATTTTTATTTCTTCTTAATCCCTCAATTTTGAAGAAAACAGCATTTACATAGAAGTAACCAGCATGACTATGTTTATTGCAGCATTATTTACCATAGCTAAGATATGGAACCAACCCAGATGCCCCTCAGTAGATGAATGGATCAAGAAAATGTGATATATATATATATATATATATATATATCTACAATGGAACTTTATGCCTCCATCATAAAGAATGACATTGCCCCATTTGTTAGGAAATGGAAAGACTTGGAAAAAATTCTATTAAGTGAAGTAAGCCAGGCCCAAAGAAGCATAGGTCCTATGGTTTCCCTTATTTGCAATAATTAGTATATATCTGAGTCAAGCAGAAAAGATCAGATAAGTTGATGTTAGGGAAATGAATATGTATTCGAGTGTTTTTTTTCTTTCATGCGATTGTTTCTAACACATTTATACGATTATTTCTTTGTTGCTTTGTATGTCCCTCCCCTCACAGGATAACCCCTGCTTTCACTGTATTTGATGTTGTTATAAATTTGTGGAGGGGAAGGGGAAAAACACATCATTTAAATAGGGATACAGGTGGACCCATTGCAACAATGAGATATTCAAATCGTATGTCGAAAATGAACTTTACAACTTTGGTGGAGGGAAAGGAGGGAGAAGAATTGGATTGGGGGGGCAGGGGGCGGATGGAAAGGGATGAGAAGGGGAAACACAGGAGGAGGCTACAATGCTTGGTAAGAAATGTACTCATTATCTTGTCCATGTAATTGTAACCCCTCTGTACAGTATTTTCACAATAAAAAAAAAGTAATACATTTTTTTTTGGTCATGGGGCTTAACTCAGGACCTAGCACTATCCCTGAACTCTTACACTCTTACAATCAAGGCTAGTGCTCTACCACTTTGAGCCACCACCTTTTTTTCCTGGTGGTTAATTGGAATCAAGAGTTTCATGGGTGCTTTTCTGGCTTTGAACTGTGATCCTTAGATCTCAGCCTCTTAAGTAGCTAGGAGTACAGGCATCAGCCACCAGCATCTGGCTGAGTGGTCCTTTTGATTCATAACCTGGCAATGAGTTTCTTATGGTTTTGAGCATCAGCTGTGACATGTTAATGCATATTTTTGACCTAAGTTAATCTTATTTTTCTTCCATACAAAAAAGAAATTTATTTTATGTACATCACAATGATATATGCGCACAGGACTTTGAATTGAATTTGCGTAGTAATACAGTTGATAAATACATTTTGCTTAGTAGTAACTAAGAACCATAATTTATTTTTTCCTGGATTATAAAATTCTATTAATCCAATTGGTGTCATGTAAATTGCCTTTGGTGTAAGCCACAATCATATAGTTGTGGGTACAAATTAGTAGCTATAGCATCAGAGTTATGGTTTGTAACAAAAGCTTCCATATGTCAAAAATGGTCTTAAAGAATACCAGTGTATATAATGTTATATAATCTATTCTTATCTAACCAGAAAGAACTAACAAATGTCTCAGTGAAGATAAATCTGTGTTCAACTCATGACTGTTTCAGATAAATAGATGTCCAAAATGGACATAGAGCTACATGTCAGATAATATTGATTAGGCAGAAATATTGATTAGGCTCTTGGCCCAGAGTGAATCCTCAGACTTTCTCCATAGTGTTTGATACCACTTGGTAATCATTTAATTATAGGCTGGATTAATTTGTGACGTGTCATCAGCAGTAGAGTTGTTGTATGGTGGTACTTCCATTCTTTTTTCTTCTATGCTGCTCCTGGGGCTTGAAAATTGTTGGATCTAGAATTTGCTTCTGATTCATTTTCAGATTTGATTCTTTGTTCCTGTCCATTATTGAGGCACCTAGGCATTTTATGCTACAGTTATAAAACAACCTTTGCTCCTTTAAAGTATTTGATATCAAACTTAACTTGTAGGTATAGAGATTTAAAGCACTCCTGGAGTACTGAGATGATCTGTCTTTATGTGTGTTCTCTAGAGGCTTGGTCACTTCAGATGATTCTCTCTCTCTGTCTCTCTCTCAATGTTTTCATTTTCTTTAAGTAGTTGTACAAAGGAGTTGCCATTTAACAAACAGCTAATGAATAGAATATATCTTGGTGAATGTTACCCCTTTCAACCCAACCCTATGTCACTTTTCTTAAATTTATAGGATATTCATTGGAGTTCTTGACTGCATTTTCCCCACTCCTTGTCTCTATTTATCTATCCCCTCTCTGTGTCTCTCTTTTAACATTTGTGTTTCCTTGGGGCATGTGTGTCTGTGTGTGAATTTCCTTCATCTTAAGGACATCAAGATGGAGGTCAACCTAATAGCAATATTTTAACTTAATTGCTTCTATAAAGATGAAATTACAGATGAAATCATATTTTTGAGGTACTGAGGGTTACAGCATCAATTTATTCTCCTACTTCCCCAAATAAGTTGAAATTC